TTTCTAAAGTGCATAAACTTTTGGGATTGACTGTATAGCCAATACATCCTTAAATTACAATGTTTGAATGATACCTAACATTCAATTGATAATTTTTTTATTTAAAATTCTCAGTTTACATTACATTTTTTGATAGAACAGAAGCTCATCGTGCAATGGTTTACTTCTAAAAAACTCAACCTGTATTGAAAGTTCTGAAAAAACGTTTAAAATATCACCCATATAATTCCACCTGTTGCATCGCGGCTATATATGTCCAGGCGCGGCCCCGATGTATCAATTAACCTTTTGCACAGCCCCTTCAAGAGGTTTCGACATCCCAGCATTAATACATTTTATCATTTTTACGTATCCAGTTTCTGCGTAACAAATTCTGTCTGCGAATAAATTCTTTCGCAAACATTTTCACGCGTCGAACAACTTGATAGCCATGTACGCAGAGTGGATCAATAAGAATTCTCATATAAAAGAAACTGATGTTTATTGATCCTTTGAGCTTCATTCGTTCAAATTTAAGACCGTAGTCGTTTAATATAACATAAGAATTAACGATATCAATAAATATTGTTTTATGTGATTATTCTTATTGATTTAACATGTCTGTGAGACGTAATGTCTTGTCTGTTATCTAGGAAGACGGATCGTAAGAAAGTTGATCTCTCTTCGTGGCGGTGCGTTTAATTAATCTTTTCCTCGCAAGAGCGATCACGCCAGCGGTGAAATACGTGTTATAGCGTATTCTTCTCACGCGTTCAGTATTTATCTTAATTTTCAAAATACCCGATGACGTATCTTTAGTTTCGAATTGAAATTTTTAGTGAGCTCGTATAGAAATTCGATTCATTACGAGTGAAAACAATTATAATATGGCATCGCGTCGGTTTGGAAAGCCGTCGAACCAGAAAGTTACATAGCAGTTGGACGATCGAACGAGAATCGAGGAGTCTGGTTAGCCGGTAGGGCGTAACGGCAGAAAATACCGGTAAACGACATTTCCGTCCGATATTCTTTCTTCGAATCTGGTTAAGAGAGAAAAATCCGATAGCGAACGTGGTTGACAAAAATCGAAACGAAAAATTGAATACCGGTTAGTTTCTCGATAACGATTCGGTTTTCCTTAATTAGTTTCGCCAATTGGTCGACATCGAATTCGCACGTATCCTGAAATTCCGTATTCGTCGAAAGAAACTCGTATGCATATTATTAGCATATTTATATTATGATTGAGTAAAATCACGAACGGGTATCTCGAGGGCAACGACTTTCTACTTTTTTAATTAACTTAGTTGCACTTTTTCAAATCGTTTAATCTGCTTACATCAATTTCTCGTATTTTTCAAGGTTGTTAAAGGTTCTTTCCTTCGTGATCGTTTCTGGAAATGTACAATCCAAACTTGTCGACTTGTTAGAAAATCGTTGAATACGTGACTCGTTCGAGCGGACATCGGAAATTCTGCGTTTCGCGATCTACGATGCGTGGTTACCGCTACTTTCTGCGTTACCCTCAAATAAATCTCGTACATAATAGAACGCGCTGTGACTGTTCAACTGTACAGTACGATCATTATTACCGGAGAATTAATTCTGGTTGCAGGGAGGACAGGGCGGATTCGAGGATATCCGAAGGTACGTGAAACAGGGTGGGGATTTTTGCAAAGAGTTGGCATCGATCCTTCACGAAAGGTGAATTATCATGCGTTTGATTTTTCAAATTGATTTTATGTAGGGTGTATTCTCTATTTATTCTCTTGTCTCGCAGAGCTGAATTGGAAGCGACTTACGCCAAAGGGCTCAGCAAATTGAGCAGTAAATTGACGAAAGCATGCGCGAAAGATCAAGGTATTATGACTTCTAATTAATCTCGATCCGACCGAGTGTACATAGAATATAATTAAGGACGGTGACGCTGTGTCAGTGCATATAATCTTTATCGTTGCTTGGTGATGAGCACAGGTGGGAACGGTAGCGGAGGCGTTAACGAGGCATGGAGATGCGTCGGCGAAGAAATGGAGGCCGCCGCGGAAGCCCACAAGATCTGGGGTATCACACTCAGCGAGCAACTCGCGAAACCGCTCAGAGTAAGTTCTTTTAGAAAAAATGAATCAGGGACAGATGATCGATATCTTCGAAATATTATTAGGAATAGTCGTTTATGTGCTAGTGATCGACACGGTTTTTGCCTTATGCGTAGACAAGGAATAAAAAGATCGCATGTATCACTTATCGCCGTTTTCGATGTGTAATCAGAGATACATTATCTTTGGAAGAAAACGCGGGAAGGCGTTGACGATGCTCTCTCTGCCTCAGGTGGGAGTAGCGGAGGCTCAAGGACGATCGAGGAAGGCGATCGAGAATTCCGTGGACAAAGCTGGAAAATCTCTCCACGAGTGGCGAAACGTCGCGGCGAAGAGTAAGAAGCAGAGTTTCGCGAGCGCACGGGAGAACGAGAGGTTGCAGGACCTGGCCAGGCTGCAAACGATCAGTCAGAGCCAGCAGAGCAACAACAAATCGCCGAGTCATCACCAGATGACCGAGAAGGAAGCCAGCAAGTTGGAGGCGAGGAGGAGAAAGGCCGAGGATTCGTCTCGCAGGGCGGACACCGAGTTCTACACGGTGAGCGTGAGAGCCGAGAGAGCCAGGCTCGAGTACGAGAGCACGATGAGGAAAGGGGCAAAACAGATGGAACTCCTCGAGGAGGAAAGATTGAGCGCTCTCAAGGATCTTGCGAACGTTTACCTGGCTCACCTACAAGCCCTGGCTCCCCGCCTGCAACAGGTGAGCGCTCACGACGTCGGACGTTCGAGTTGCGAATCACCAATTATGCAATCGACGATCTTTTTCTTTTTACAGAGTGCCGACCGATTGGCAACGCCGATACGTAACTGCAACGTGTCTCAAGATATCGAGATGTTGAAGAACCACATACGCAGAGTAGAGAGCAACGACGGTTGTAACGCGGAGCAATTGCTGCCGGACTTTTACGCGGAGCATGTTACGCTCGCGATGAACAGGGAACGTCGAAAGCAAGCATTAGTGAGAGTGCTCCATTTGATCAGGCAAGACTTGGAACGTGAGAGGCGTGGTAGAGAGGGTTTAGAGACGCTTCACAGAGCTTTTGTCGCGACGCCGGCCTTCGCCGCGGACGAGAGCACCCAGAACGTCACTGAGAAGCTACACCATGTACGTCTACGGCTTGAAACGGTTTTCGTGTCTTTCGCGTGTAAATTATGATTACCGATCTTCTTCCGGTAGATGCGTTCCATGCTACTGTACCTGGAGGCAGCCAAGTACAAAGTCGGAGGAACGTTGGCGGAAGTGGAAGGCAGCAAACGAGGCAAGCATCCGTTCGCCGAGTACATTTTAGTTTCGAGGGATAAACAGGGTTTGCAGCAAAGTGTCCTTAAGGTGAATATTCTGTTTTCTAAGGATCGATTCCTTTCCGTAACGTGAGAAAACAAACGTATGCGCTTTTTGTTTCAGATTCCTTCTTGGGCAAAGAATGAATCGTTCGAGATTCAAACGGAAGAGGACGACGATATCGAAGTCCGTCTCGCGAAGGATCACGATGCCGTCAGTCGTCAATGGGTAGACCGGACGGCTGGCGATGGGAACTCGGAAAATCCACCGGACGAGGACGATTTCAGCGATTTCGACGAGTTCAGCAGTCAGTCCGAAGATAACAATAATCAGGACGTCGACACCGTGGAAACGAGTGTGAAACCTGATGGAACGGAACAATGTCGAGCGATCTATCAGTATTCGGCGAACTTGAACGATGAGCTCAGTCTGAGTCCAGGGGATCTGATAACGGTGCATCAGAAGCAGCCCGATGGATGGTGGATAGGCGAGTGCAAAGGCCGAACTGGAATATTTCCAGCAACCTACGTTCAAGTAATTTGATTGTAGAGCTCACAAGAGAAGGAAACCAATCAAACGTTTGCTTCGAACTCTGAGCAGGGAATGAATAAACGAATATACGTGAGAAAAATTAAATAAGTGCCAATGACAAGATTTGGGTGTTTGTTCGAATATCTCGCGGAGTATATGAAATAAATGTGGACGAAGTTAATATATAATCGCGATGATACCGTAGATAGATTTATACGACGAACTATTCCTTTTTATAGCTGACGTACTATAATTTATACAATTGTAATGTAAGTAATAACGCCGCGATACGCGATGATGGATTGTATCATTTTCATACGTTGCGTCTGTGAAAACAAGGAAGAAAGTCTATCATTCCTTCTATAGACGATCAAAGACTGCCATTTACGTGGCGATCGCGTGTCAAGTCAGCGCGAGTGTGTATGTATGTATGTATGTAGTAAAACCTGTTCAATCTTAATTTTGATATTTCGTTGTAAATAATTGCGAGATAAACTTCGTTTATTTGTGTTATAATAATACAGTCGAACGATACAGCGTTAATTAGTTTTAATCATCAACATGGTCACCGAACTCCTTCTCCAAATGAATGATTATTTCATCCAGCATGCGAGTGTTATTAACTGGAAACAAGATTAAAAAGTTCGCGTATTTAACGAGAAGACTTTAATTAAAAGTCGTCTTACCACAAAATGGCGCGCTGTCGGCAGTAATGACGAAGAACGTTCCTCGTTGAAGATAATTTATAGCGTTTATTCCCATTTCCGAACAGATACTTCTGTTACAAGTTCCCCTGGCCGCGCGGAACAAGTTTCGATACGATAGGTCCCAGTGATGCGCCCAAAATGTGCAATTGTGCTTAACGTCAGTTACCAGGGACTCGATTAAGTAATGGTGCGAAAGACCATGACTGCATATGGACTTGTCGATCACTAAAATCGAGTAACCAACGAAATCGAATAATTCTTTTATTTTCGAACGAAACATGTAGGAAGCTACATATCTGCTCCAGTAAAGTTAATCACCTTGAATGGGAACCGGTAAATAACTGAAGTAGGAAGAGTTGCTTTTTATGCAGGCGGGTTGGGATTTGCCACCGTTCGGATAGAAATCGACGTGGCCTGAGAAACGATATCAAAAATTATATTTTATCGGAGCAATCAACTAAAAGTACAAACCTATTGGGCCTGGTAAACCTAATCCGATCTCGTGTAGCAATTTCCCATTAGTGTGAATCACATCCACGAAGGGTGCATCGGATTTGGCGAGCTTCACGGCAGGGTCTGCGTTTTTGAAGCAAGGTTGCGCAGGATCTAATCCTGTTATTCTCTCTACTTTCCATGGACTGTGTCTTTTTTTCAATTCTTTTGCAGTGAAACCACAGATATGTGCACCGAGACTGTGACCCACCAAATATATTGAGCCCCAAACGATCTTATCGGAATTGTTCCCAGCATATGTGGCATTTTCTATATGTTCTAGAAACCTTTACAGTTTACAGTTTTAGTACATCGTAAATTACAGCCATTATTTATTTAAAATAATTACAACCTTGATATTTGATAGCCCACTACTTTTGTGTTAACAGCAGCTTTGTAATAATTCCAAGTATTACCGCCAGCACTCCAGTCTACAACTACTACATTGACGTCTCCCTAAATGAAAACGCGAACATATGTAGAAAAATTCATTCTATTTATTATTTCAAATTTTATTTACCCATCGAAGGAAAGCTTTTTCCAAGTTGCTGATCCATGGTTCTTGACCGTGGGATAAGAAACCGTGAACTATTATGATTGTTTTTCGTTCGATTTGAAAATCCGTCCATTCCAAACCGAACTGTTTGCCGATTATTACCTTAACGCGTTGAGGCTGCTTTCTCGATGAGAGCAAAAATTGCATCTCTAAAGCGTTTGTACCATTCGGATTGCTCATGAAAAACCATTCCAAAGCTGAGGCTACCGTCTTGCCTAAGCCGAGACAGTCTACTTGATGCGACTTGCCATCTACTTCAGAATCAGAAGAGAGGTCGAAAATAAAGTCTGTCAAATGGCTAATGTAACTACTCGAATTTTTGTCAACGTTTCTATCTTCTTCCGAAACGATATGACTATGCGCGACAAAAAGTAAAGACAATTCAACGAATACTATTACAGACAGTTGCATTTTCCTGGATATTTTTGTATCCAACCGTACTCGACAAAGTTAGATTAGACTAGATTCATAAAGAAAAAAATAAGTGATGTGATGACCTGACGATAACATATACAATTACTAATTTCAAGCGAAACATCGTTACTTTGTCACTTCCCTACAAATTTTACATAAGAACGAAGCATTTTATGTATTTACTACTGAATCAAATGAAAGTATGACTTTAGAATGATACTTCCCATTGTAAATGAAATTATAAGTATTTATTAATACTTATATCGTATGTACATACATATATATAGAAAAAAACACTTATGTATTTCAATTTCCGATGGTAACAGTAGATAAAATATCTTGGTTTATTTTGCGCGAAAATGAAACATATGTTTCATACAAAAGTATTAAAGTACCGTTATAGAAATTTATGTAAGTTTATATGTTTAGCTTTTGCTTCTTCCTCCTCCGCGATTTTTCTTTCTTCTTCTTCTGCAACAGTTAGAAAAGGAATCATTATGGTACTTAGATAGAAAGTGGAGGCTATTTAGAATCGCTAATTTTCTTACCACTGTCTGGTCAAAGTTCGTTTGGTTGATACTGTTTTTGCTACCTCCTTGGAACGAACTAAAATCTATAGTGTTGTAATTAAACTTATCCGATGGCATCATTCCCTTCTGTTTCAACTGTTTCATTACACGCTTCTTTTCTCCTTTTCCTCTTGAACTGAAAGTAAACTCAATACATTAATAACAAGAGAAGATAACATTTCTCGAGTATCTTGCGTATACTAACCGCATGGGATTGATCGTTTCGTCGTTTGAAGCTCGCATGTCGCTCATTTCTCTACCTTCTTGCGAACGTAGGTCTGCTACGTCGTCTAGTCTTGTTAAATACCCTGCAACTCTCAACGTGCTTTCATTATACACATCCTTCAGCGACGGGATCGAACTTAACGGTTTCTGTTCAGGATACCGTTCCGTTTCCTGTTTATTAATATTTGAATCACGTTTCTTTTTACGACCTTCCATTTGACTCAGCGGCGTCTGAAATAGTTTCCTCTTAGCGACTTTCTTAAAATGTTCGTGAACACGATTTTTGCTCTCTTCTAGTTCTGTATCTTTTTCTTTTAATTCTCTATCTTCTCCTTGACTTTCGGTCTCTGTCAGTTTATTCGCGCGTTCCTCTTCTTGTTTTTGTCTCTCCCTTTCTCGCGATTCTTCTTCCGCTACCATTGGTATCACTCGCTTATATCGTTCGAACGGACTTACGAAAACGAACTTTTTCTTTCCCGTACTTTTCCGGTCCTCATCCTCGTTCTGCAAATAAGACTAATTACTAGAGTTCAAACAAATCATTATTTTGTTAAGTACCTCGGATGTAGACGAGTCATCGAATACAGTGACAGTATGCTCAGTCGCAGTCAAAGAAATCGGTGAGTCAGGCTTGTTTCCGTTGTCTAACAGACAGGGTAAATCGGCTCTCGCTTCCATACCGCTTGGAATATCGTGTGACGTCCACGTCTTTGAGCTTGCTGTCTGCACGTTTCTCTGAGTCAGTCTCTGCTTGAGCTCCTCCAGCCCTGTTTTAATGAGCGGCTGTTCCCTAGCCTTCAATATTATTTTGTGCAGTTTCAATAGATTCTGTCTGACTAAAGGAGGAATCGAGTCGCAGCATGCCAGAATTCCTTGCATCTCGCGCGGCAATGTGTCTGCTATATTTAAAAGCATGTGATTCGGTAGAACGTAACCGATGCTATCGTCTTCTTCTCTCGCAGTTTGATCCCGCCACTTGTGCAACTCCCTCAAAGCATACAGTTGCTTGTTGTTGAATATCCTGTTACTCTTTTTGTACATGTTCATGAAGCTTTCCTCTGTCCATACTGGTTTCACGTAAGTCTTCTTGCAAATATCTGTACTCCTATCGTAAACCGCTTTCAAAATATTCGACTGGCCATTAGCTGCATCAATCAGAGCATTCGTTAGAATGTCTTTTATGTACAGTAAATAATGCGTGTCCTCCCTGGCGTATTTCAAGAGTTGTTCTGGTAATGGTCGTATACGCCAATCGGCCATTTGAAAATGTTTATTAGGATCCACGTTGCAGTAGGTTTTAAGCAAATACGCTAGACTTAAATACGGTAGGTTCAACTGTTTCGCCGCTTGATGAGTATCAAACATGTTGACGATGTACAGAGATAGATCTCGCTGAAGCCATTGAATGTCTAAATCTGCTCCATGAAGCACTTTCAGTATCGTGGGTTTGGTAAAAATTTCGTTCAACTCGTGTAATTCAGAACGCAATGACAGAGTATCTATCACATAATCAGTATCTCGCGTCGAGATTTGCATCAGACAAGTTATTCCTTGGAAACTTCGGTAAGAATGATGCTCCAGATCCACAGCTATTTCTTTGTACTCTTTTAAATCATCTAACAATAACTTGATATCGGGTGGATCTTTGATCATTATCAATTTAGTATCCTTTAAAGGTTTATACATCAAAGGTTTAGTCTTTTCCAATTGATCGTTAGGAATTACGAACATTTCCAGTTCATGTTCGTAAGGGTGACAAAACACCTCGCCATTTTCACCCTCTTCTAAATAAATCGCCAATGGTCTCCGAGAATTAGGTTTATCCTTGATTCTGGGACACCAGGGTTTCAGACTATTGTCGATTTTATCTTTAAACGATAATTGTGGTCTGTGAACATTTTTTCCAGCTAACAAGCATATAGAAGATTCATCCTGAGAAGTTTTCTGACTTGTTGATGATACCAATTTACTGTTCCAGCTACCATTCATCTGCTGCGTCTTCGCATGAGTGACTACCAATTCCACTTCAGATTTTTTAGTTATGCCACATTCTTCATCCATTAAAGCATTCTGTGATTTTACATATTTACAAAGACTATAGCTTGGACAAGGAAATGTTATACTCAATAAAATCATTATGAGAACTTACAGCTCGATCTTGAAGAATATCATTCGCTTCTATTAGGAGTTCAAACTTTTCTTCGATGTCACGATTTACAACACTGCCCTTGACACTGATTTTGCCTAATATATCTTGCATAGCATTCAATAGTAAATCTGTGTTTGAATTTTTGGCTTTGAGAAAACTGGGGAAACACGCATAATATTTGAAGTTCGATCCAGTAGGTAAATTATTAGCAGCCTTGATTCCAAATTTAATCGCATCGTAAGCTTCCTAAAATGTGATTGAAATCCGGAATACAAATCTATTTCAATTAAAGGAGATGCAGAGGCACAATAATTCGAATCATACCTGAATGTAATCTTTAAAATTCGTGTATCCGGGGATAACTTGGTTAATTTCTGGTGGGTCACTGACTTGCGCTTCATTTTCCGTCGTTTGGCAATCGCCACTCCAATCTTCATTTTCCATATTGTTAATCGTAAAAATCTGCACAGTTATTCGTTAATTGTGCACTAGAAAACAGTGTTTAAAATTACGATTTACAAGTTTGGCATGCTACAACTACACGTGCATGCATGTTCGCTATTCTGTTCTGGACAGATCCATGTTTGTGTTATGTATATTAACTTAGCTTCGTGAATCGCCACCAGGGAGAACGTAAGTATGCAGGCATATAAAGCTGTCATTTATTCAGAAAAACCAAGTAAAAAAATCAGTAAAATCTCTACGGGACGATGAATAAAAAACAACAGGACACGAAGCATTCCATTTTCGGATGTTTAAATCAAAATTAAACAGTTGTAAACAGATTTCTTTATTTCTTCACAAATGGGTAATCGCTTGGCACGTGTTGAAGTTTTGAATCGATGAAGTTTTCCCTTCAAATATAAAAAATAACATGAGCCAAGTAGAAAGAAGAAGTACGCGGAATGTACAGGTGAATTGATTTTGTTACAAGAATGCGCTTGCGGTCGAATTTCCTTCGGCGGGAAACGCTTCGATTTAATCACGCGCATGTTGCGCATGTCAAACGCATCAAGTTAATTATGTATTATGCTATTTAAAAAGAAATTCGGGAGATACTTCTATTTATAGTTGCAATAAATGTTATGTACAATAGCCGCGATTACAAAATAATCAATAGTCCCAGTGAACAGTTTCGTCTCACTCTTCTTTTTTTTTAAACAATTTTTTATTCGTAATATCTAGATGTAAATCCGTATATAAATTATTATTATGCACACATTCGCGTTACTTGATTCCTTTCTTTCTCACTCGCTCTCTCTCTCTCTCTCTCTCTCTCTTTTTCTCTCCCGCTCGTTTCCCTATTTCCCAATTCCCACCCCAAATATTTTGTTCATTCTCGCCGTGGCACAACGAACGAGTTGCTATTTTTCTTCCCCTTATGACGGTACAAAACTATCCTACCTATGTACAGGGTGTACGAAACGTGCAAAGCGAATGAAACACAAAGTGGAGGACATACATTGTGCGCAATCAATCGCAAATCGTCATACTACTCGATCATGTCTGTGATGCAAAGTTCGCGGAAGAGTGTATCTCAATCATTGTATTAACCGGTTTTCAAATAGTACAAATCATGTTCAAGTTTTTTCCGAAAGGTGTGAGCAACATTCGTCGATACGAACGATTAACAATCGTGCAAGGGTATGCGAGGCTCGGAAAAATTTCGTCGCGTAGAAAACGAATGATTCTATGTACATTACAGATCTCTCTCGTGTCGCGCTTAGAAAAATAGAATCTATGTATATCTGTTAGAAATCATTTGTGCGGAATCCTGTGAATCTCGATGCAAGACATTCGCCGACGCTCGAACAACAATTTTAACAACGAATAAGATCCGATCAACAGTTTAACGCTGTACAATTTCGCGATTCCTGTACAATAGAAATAAACTGGATTGAAAGATCCTTGAATGACTCAGCGTATTTGACAGTGTGTTCTAAGTCGAAACCTTAGTGTCTAGATCACAAGCGATACGACGAAATATCTCGGTAATCACAGCTTCGACGTCGATGATCGTGTTAAAGTAATATTTCCTATGAGCGTAACACACTCCCTATATAAACGAAAAATTGTTCAATTGACTGCATCGCATTCTATGCTCCTATGGGATTTAGATGGCTTATACGGTGTTTAAACAGGTGCATTTTTTTCCAGAATAAGAAACTACCGACGGGGCCAGGGTTGTTGCAGTTTTACTTTCAACAAAGATCTTGTTTACTGGAATATCAATTTTCATGCTTGTCGCCTTTGGTTGACAAAACGGTTTGCGCGTCAGGCGTAGCTACTTACGTCCGATACTGATAGAAAATTCTACGCTTACAAAAAATGAAACACGATGTCTTTGCTCTCGTTAACGAGTTGTTCGATGGGTGATCGCGCGACGTTGTTGAGCATTGCGTAGTTTTAATCGTCGCGTATGTAATTCGTCAGAACATCCTAGATATTAAGGCACATCAGTTTGCTCGCAAGGCACGGATGACGTCGTTCCTTCCTCCCTTGTCTCGTCGTTGATTGATAACGTTCGGTAATCGAAAAAGTGACGTGAGTTTCCTTTGCTTTGCGCGGCTTCGCGATTCCTATAATATAATCGGCATAAAAGCCAGTCAGTGAAAAATATTCAACGCGTCGATTAGTAATCGGTCTTATAGTTTAAATTAGTTTCATATATTCTCTCGATCCTTTTCCTTAATTAATTATTTTCTTTTTTTTTGTTCTTTTTCCTTTTTATTCCGACTGAATGGCTTTTGAGTCGAACATATCGAATAGGCGATGTATTTTATGTACAATGCTGAACGTGGGACACTGTACGTACGCCTGCCGCGCAGATAAGGTGTCGATTTGGGAAAATAAGTGCGAAACGTAAAACATACGTTGGATCGATTTTCTTCCGTGATCTTTCCCATGCAATTATCCAGCGATCGAAGAGATTCGTGAAACTGAATTCAATGCACAGGCGCGAATTTAAAGGCCAGTTTCCGCGGCGTTTATGTAACCGTGAGACTTGGTACGAAAGTGCGTGGACCGTGTCCCGCAGTCCAGTCCAATTAAGGTCGTCAGTTCCCGAATCGAAGCGACGATGGTTACCAATTTTCTAACCACCCGAGGGATTAAAAATTGCGAACAGAGATCTTCCCGAATTACGTAATCAGATAACGGACGGTGGCATTGTTACGTAATTTCATCCAAGACTCACCGTTAACTCCTCTTATATAATTCCCTGTTTTTATATAATGTTATAGGCGTACCGATGACAATAAAAACGTTTCGTTGGTTTCTATCTATTCTCCCGATATATTTAACCGTTTGACAATTATATAAACCGAAAAATACATCTGCCAACGGAAATAGCAGGCGTTTAATTGAGAATACCGGGGGGGGGGG